GCCTGCCCGAAGCGCTCCCGGGGAGCTCAGCGGAGCCCAGTCCTGGGCTTCTTGAGCCTGCAGGTCCGGGCGCACTGTACGACCAGCCCGGCCTGTGCGCCCCTATGGCAGCACCCCGGCACCGGGCGGGACCCCCGGCCCGGCCACCTCCTCCTAGGTGCCCTTTGACTCCACTCCAAACGGTGTGGACATCCATGCCGGTTTTTCCGTTTGATGGCGGCTCGAGGGCGTCAGCTCCGGGCTAGACACCGCGGCAGGCGAGGGAAGTGGGTTGGTATGTGGGAAAATCAGGAATGGAATTTTTGCCAGCGCGGAGTCTGGATCCGCCACCCTTTAGCCACTCCCGGAGCTCGCACACATTTAGATCCGAAGGCACGAGGATCTCTGTCCTCGGTGGGGGACTAAGCCTAATGACCCTCCCCACTTCAGCCCTTTCAGCCTCTGCTCATACCTCTTTCGCAGCCCCTTCTCCACCACCCTCCATCTTTCCTTCACCTCACCCCTTCACCGGGTAAGAAGTAAATCTCTCCTTGCCCTTCCAAATCTGGGGCTCTCTTGGCCCCTCTGCCGCTCAGGACAGCATAGATCAGGAGTATCTCCATTCTTTCCTCTACAGAATTCTGAGGGGGAGAAGAAGGGACCCTTCTCCTAAGGATGTTAAAGGCTCAGATCTGAAACGTTGGGGGTTTTCAGGGATAGAAACCTCCCTGCACACACCAACACATATAATCACTTATTCCCCACCCCCGCAGGCACACAAACACACCTCCTACTCAAAGAGTCACAGACTCCAAGCTTCACACAGTATAGGTCCCCTGTCCCTGCACGGGAAGGGTGGGCAGGAGGGCAAAATCCCTTCAGCAGCATCCTGCCCTCCCCTCCACTGTGAATACCCTTCTCCGGAGTGTTCTCAGGTGCATTAGGCTTTCGAGAGTCAAGGGGTCCTGCTCCCACCCCGAGAAATCTACGTAACTGACTTTATACTGCACAGTGCACACCCGGCCACACCTCCACCTTCCCACAGAGCCACAGGCAGCCAGCACCCACAGGGACAGACCTCGTCTCAACTCTCCCCCAGCGCACACACCCACAGACCCCATCCCCTTGAACTCACACAGAGCCTCTCTCTCTCTCTCTGACATGCACATGCATCCTCACACATATATTCACCTCCACCCACAGCTTTTCCGGTTGAGAAGCAGATAAGGAAATTCCCCAAGCAAACCTTCAGGAAGACTATTCCAGTGAAGAACAGATTTCCTTGGGTTGAATGTTCTAATTAAAAAGGGAAGGAGAAAAGGCATCTGTAGGTTCTAGCCCACAATTCTTCAGTGGCCAAAAACCCCCAGATCAAAGGCCATTCTCTTCCACACACCCAAGAGTGATCCACACCCCTCTTTTGGGCCTGGCAAACCCCAGGAAGCCAAGCCAATAGGCTGAAACTACAGGGATTCTAGGCCCTCTCCTCCTCCTGCCCCCAGCTACCCCCCCCCCATTGCCCTAGAAAAGAACAAACAAGACAGGTTGCCCCCTCATCCCCCATCACCACTGAACACCAGAGAGGTTCCTGGTCCAGGTATAGCCAGAATTCATCATCAGTGCAACTCAGCAGGTCTTTATGAAGCATCTAGAGTCACAGAGGTTTTCCGAGTTGGGGACAGGACTCCTTTCAGGGACAGATGGAGAAGGAGCTCACCCAGGGAGCTAAGGGGCTAGAGCTAGCAGCCCAGGAAACTGGTGATAGAACAGGGAGTAGAACGCTTGGTTGGCTCCCAGCCTTTTACCAACTGCTGTGGGATTCAAGAGAAGATCCAGTGCTTGCTCCCACCTGAGAGCTGACAGCCTGTGCCCTACAACAATAAAAATCCCAATCTCATTCTCTCCCAGCAGGCATTACATAGCATTGTTCCAGAATGGTGAAGCTAGGTGGCCCCTCAGACATACTGGATAAATCCCAAGGTATTTAGTTGTGGAAACTGAGGCTCCAGGGGATTGGGGACCTTGAGTGGTTTTTTCCTTCCTGCCTGCATTATTGACACTTTGCCTCTGGGCCCCGGTCACTTTGTCTAGGGGATCCAGAGTCCTTGTGCAGGGCAAGAGGTTTCTCTTTATATATGGCCTTTCTGGCCCTGGGTTTGTAGTTCTGCCAAGATGATTTGCTAGGCCACAATCTTGCAAAGGAATTGGACAGTTTACTATGCAAATAAGATATGTGAACCCCTTGCGGGGATTGGTCAATTACTATGCAAACTAGGTGACTGTGGCCTACCTAGGGGATTGGTCAGTTTTGCCATCCTGCTAGGCTTAAGAAGACCAATCCTACAGAGATCAGAGTGGGGGACCTCACTACCATTGTGAAGAAGAACCTGGAGCAGAATGCGTCCTTTGGACCAGGGGTCCCTCCATTGAGAACCTCCTAGTCCCAGGAGACAGAGAGAGCTGTGACACTGGAGATGACATGAGGGCACAAGACAGCATGAGATGGCATGAGTGGCAAGAACCAGGAAACCAGCATGAGACAGCTGCAGTGGCTTTCTGGCCCACGGAGCAAGGCAGCTGTAGTGGGCTCGACGACCCACAGAGTGATAGAGCTGAGCACCTTCGGGCAGGATGCTTGCTGGCAGAGTGAGATGTCTCCAGGCACTTGATGGTGGAACCAAAAGAGTTTTAACACTTGCCTGAGCGGGGACTGGCGGCAGAGGCTGAGAAGAAGCCAAGAGCTATCTTGGTTGGGAGCTGTCCTGAATGACAAACTGTCTCCTGTCTCCTGTCTCCTGAGTAGTTTCTGTTACCTCCAAGTTGATCCTGATCTTGAATTGTAACTTGTTACTTCCCTAATAAACCCCATAATCGTGAGTATGGCCTGTGAGTTCTATGTGGCCATTGCGATAAATTATTGAACCCAGCAGAGAAGTAGAGAGTTCCGTGAAGGGAGCAGCTGCTGTCAGAAGTGGTAAAAAGGTTGGAGTGTGGAGGTATGTCTGACCTCTGCCTCATAGGAATCAACTTTGAGCTGCTTTGTGGTGATTCTTATTAATCATTCATTCACCTTGGGAAAAGGAAAGACTATAGATTTATGTGGTTCTGCCATTCATAGCTGTGTGACCCTAGGCAGACTACTTGACACTTCTGGGCCTCAGTTTCCTCTTCTATAAAATGGGGAGAATAATCTGCTGCAAAAGACCTCTTTCAAGTGTTAAAAAGCAAAGATGTCACTTTGGTGCACCTGACTCAAGCCATGGTATTTTCAATCCCCTAATATGCATGCAAAAGCTGGACAACAAATAAGGAGGACCAAAGAAGAATTGATGCATTTGAATTATGATGTTGGCAAAGAATATTAAATATACTATGGACTGCCAGAAGAATGAGCAAATCTGTCTTGGAAGAAATACAGCCAGAATGCTCCTTAGAAGCTAGGATGGCAATACTTTGTCTCATGTACTTAGGACATGTTATCAGGAGGGACCAGTCCCTGAAGGAGGACATCATGCTTGGTAGAGTAGAGGGTCAATGAAAAAGAGGAAGACCCTCAACAAGATGGACTGACACAGTGGCTGCAACAATGGGCTCAAACATAGCAATGCTTGTGAGGATGGCACAGGACTGGGCAGTGTTTTGTTCTGTTCTAAGTAGGGTCGCTATGAGTTGGAACTGACTCGACGGCACCTAACAACAACATTTCCTGCGACTATTGTGAAGATAAAAAGTCCTGGTGCACAATGGTTAAGCCCTCCGCTGCTAACTAAAACGCTGGAGCTTGGAACCCACCAGCTGCTCTGCAGGAGCCAAATGTAGCAGTCTGCTTCTGTAAAGATGACAGCCTTGGAAACCCTATGGGGCAGTTCTACTCTGTCCTATGCAGTTGCTATGAGTCAGAATCGACTCAACGGCAATGTGTTTATTTTTTTTAATTATTATTTATTGTGAAGATTCAATGAGATGATGCAATTAAAACACTTAAACTATACTTTTGGATCATAGACCTGTTCTTGATAGATATGGAATGCCATTATTATTACTGCTATTTGTTTATCCTTAATGGTGACATCACATATTCCTCACCCCATGTTTTGCCTATCAGGGAAGTTCTGGGTGTCCAACCTCAAACCATCCTGCTACATTTGAAGGCTACTCTCTCCTGCTGGAGCATCACTGAGAGCCAAGTCAACTGTGAGTTGCTGTTTTCTGAGCACTCACAGAGGACTGGGCATAGGCAGGGAATGGAGTCTGCCTAGTGAGCAGATCCTCTGAGGAAAAAGATCAGAGGGAGTGAATCACCCCTGTCCTGCCCTCACTGACAGCCCGGGCCTCTGGTGCTCTGCCTTGCCCCTTCCGGCCCCCAGTGGAGGGGGCCCAGAGAGGCCCTCTCCTTCCGTGACGCTGCTGGCCCCTGTGTCCTGGGTTCCATGACGTGGCAGGAAACGCTGGCAGCACCTTGTTCCCCAAGGATGGCTATGCCACATGCCAGAGACCCCTCAGGCCTGTTTCTGATCTGGTGCTGTCATCAGGGCCCAGGTGTCCTGGGTAGGCTTCAGGGAGGGACACAAAGCGGGGAGGGACGTTCTGTCCCTTAGGAGCAGATGCCAGGCCTGCACTCTCCCAAACAGGGCCCCTGAGGC